TCCCAACAGGGGAAGCTGATGAAGCAACAGAAATGGATGTATTTCAAGAGTAAGTGGAACCTGCTGGAGCTGGCCATCATCATTCTGAGCTGGAGTGCACTGTCCGTCTTCATCAAGAGGACTTTACTGGGGATACGGGACATGGACTATTACCAGAATAACAAAGACCAGTAAGCAATAAGCAAACATGATGTAGTATTTTAACATGTGTGTGCAGTTTTCTCATTTACCTTTTCCGACTATACAGCCGTCCTGTAGTTACCAGCACATCCTCTCTGCTGTGCAGAAGAAGCTTTCTGCGAAGCTTTTTTACTCTGTTTTGCCAGAATCCACTAGTAATACAGAATATTAGTCAGATATACAGTATATTTACATTGTTTCCACCCAGCTATATTAACCATACAACTGGTAGTTAATCAAATAAATTGTAACTGATATAATTACGTAATATGATATATATTTATGATCATAATGTATGTAGCTATTTCATGCACCTCACAGTTACATAAGGCCCAATCACAAAATCCAGATTTTTAAATCACTGTATCTTTGGAAAACATTTACATAGAGAATTTGCTGTTTGAATTTCACTGAAACAAATGCATGAATATATTATATTACATTACATTTACTAATTTGGTGGTTTTCTTTTATCTTTGCAACCGCGGAACAACAGAGCTTCAGCACAGTAGGAGAGCTTGAAATCAGTGTTAAATCTGTTCAATAAAACAGTGTAGGAAGTCATTTCAGAGCTTTAGAGGTCTTGGGAGAGGAATTGCCGTCAGACTAGTTCAAGTTTCATCCGTTTAATTCTTTCAAAACCTATCTTTGTGGTTTTATTGTTCATTTCCTCATTATTTGTTCAAGAGTTTCACAATTGTGATGAAAAATCTTCTTAAGAAAAAAAAGGTTGATTAGCTAAGCATAAATATTGTATTGTGCAAATAAAGACGGCTGAGTCTCAGGAGGTTGAGCGGGTCATCTGGGAGAATGTTTGGGGGGGATTAACCCACTCACACACATCGTAGAACACTGTCATACTTATTATAGGTCCTTGTTATTATCTGGTCATCTTCTAAATAGTAGATTTGATTCCTGGCTCCTCAGGTCCACATTTTGCACAGAAGACACTGAACCTCAAACTACCCTCCCATCAGTTTGTGAATGGGGATGTGTGAGTGATAGAGACGTGCTGTATAAATGTGTGTGTAACTGACTGTGACATGCAGAGCTTTGAGTGGTGGTTCAGATTAGAAAAGTGCTTTATAAATGCAGCCCTTTTACCATACAACCTGACTCTGTCTCCAGATACGCCAGCTTCCATGAGACGGCCAAGGCTGATGCGGTGCTCGGGTATCTGATTGCCTTCTTGGTGCTGTTGGCGACAGTCAAACTGTGGCACCTGCTGAGACTGAACCCCAAGCTGCACATGATCACGTCCACACTGCAGCGAGCCTGGACTGATATTTCAGGCTTCCTGGTGGTCATGACCATCATGTTCCTGGCCTACTCTATTGCTGTGAGAAGTTTCCCACACTCCACTACATCAACATGCGGCAGGAGACACTGAATTTCATTTGCAGATGTTAGAGGAGTCATTAAAAAAGTGGTGATTAACACACAAACATTCTTCTTCTCAGTCTAACCTGATGTATGGCTGGAAGTTGTACTCCTATCGGACTCTGCTGGATGCTGCGCAGACCATGGTCAGCCTGCAGCTCGGCATTTTTAATTACGAAGAGGTGAGTGTGACACTATTCGAACTGTATCACAGGAGATGATGACAGCTGAGCTTTCTTTAATGTATTTCCTCCTTCAGGTTCTGAATTATAACCCGGTGCTCGGAGCTTTCCTCATCGGCTCCTGCATCGTGTTCATGACCTTTGTGGTGCTGAACCTCTTCATCTCTGTCATCCTGGTGGCATTCAGTCAAGAGCAGATACATCACAAGGTAACTCACCCATGCTGAGTCTGAATGTTGCTGGTGTCAGTGTCGACTTGTCATTGCAGCCAACTGTGACGGGTATCTGTGCATTTCTTCAACAAACGTTGTAGAGGAAGTGGGATCAAGATAAACAACCTTGATGACTTGATGTTCTTTGAGTTAGGCCCTGTTCAGATGTGGTAATAACACCCATCCTGAGAGATCTGATCACAAGTTACCAGCTTAATGTCCAGTTCACACCTGGAGTCCAAATGTGTCCTTAATGTGTCTCCTTTCACCATTTGTGATCAGATCTTACTGTCCAGCTCCAAATACACATGTACTACACATGAACGTTATTTCTGATCATAGAGACTAATTTTTGTCTGACTTTATAGATACAGATTGGTAATTTGTCAAGTGGTGTCCTCAGTGTGGTCACATGCATCCCAGACCACCTACCCAAAGTGGTCTGAGGGATGGGATATCAGATATGTCCAAAATGTGCCTGTTTCATTCACCTGTATTTAGTGCTGTGATTTTGTGATCAGATCCTTCAGGACGAATATTGAAACCAGGTCTGAACAGGATCTTATTTCTCTGTTTCACAGCCATCAGAAGATGATGAGATCGTGGACCTGATGCTCATGAAACTCTGCAGTTTATTCGGACTCAAATGTAAGAAACAAGGTGGCGACAGCCCGACCGAGAGGCCCTTTGTTCCATCTGTCTCAGCGACAAATTCTTCTCGGAAAATTCATGATGACTGATGTGTTACACTTCAGGCAGACCTCCACTGTGCTTTGTGTCAGTTATTGCTTTTGCTAGAGCCTTATTTCCTCTTTAATGAAAACCTACATGTTGTTGCTTTGTGACTGAAGGTTTGCAAGTCTGTAAATTATTAGCATTTCTCTCTAAGGCTGCAGATCCGCTGTTATTATATAGAGAGCAAAGACAAAGCAGGAACAAAGGGTAATCCTTATGTTTTGCTGTGAGGCACTGTATGTAGGCTTCAGTATATTTGTTGAACAAATACATGTGCTTCTGTGACAAAACCCTGTCCAATAGTTTCATTCCACTAAATAAATATTCATGATACTAGTAAAATGTTATATTTGCATCAGTCTGATCTGATAAAAAAAGCATTGGCTGAAAACAATAAACTTTATATATATTAAGCAGGATTTACTTCAGCATTCAGTTTAAATTTGTCAACCATGTCCAGTATTAGATGATTCAGTGATTATACTAGAATGGCGCCTATTGACCAACAGTCCCCGTAAGAAACCACATTTTAATTCACTAGATTCAGATTTTGTTCTGAATCTGCACCAAACATATCATTTTACTGCATGTATATAGTCAAAATACATAGTAATATGTGATACAGTCAGGGGAAGTGAACCATAAACATCAGTACACACTTGACATCTATCTCCAGGTGTCTTTTTACCATTTCATCATGTTGTACTGTCACCTGTGGGTTTGAATAAAGTCAGTGGTGGGCTACATTGTTAGATTCAACCAGGGGTCTAATCAATTTCATTAAACCCCAGTGTACTGAAATAGAGGCTGAAGTTTTCAATCAATCATCACTGATCGTTGTTTTTCATCGTGTCTTTGTGTGATGAACGCACTGTCTAACTTGTAGGTAGGTGTTTTGTAGGTTTGTGATATGAAAGGACACACTCTTAGAACACAAAGTGATATTGATAACAGAATGTAAAGGTCAGATGACAACAAATGCCAACAGCAGAGCAGACAGGACGAGTCGGCTGAGACCGGGTGAACAGTGAGGTGATTCTAGGATGCATGAATACACTGCTGACAAGTTAGTTTAAGCCCCAAAAACAGATTATAATGCTGAAGCCAGTTCTACAAGAATCAACACTTGTATTGTGAAAACAGTGTACTTACTGTTCAAAAGGAAATACATGTGAGTTGAAAATCTTTTGAAGACGAGAGACCATGGGAGAAACATTTTCCTGTAAACGTTTGATGATCTGATGGGGTTTCATAAATTCTGATGAGAAGGAACTTTAACTCAAGACATAAGAGCAAATAAAGAAGTGCTTCAACCATTTTATTTTGAATGTGTTAATAATGTGTGAAAATAACAAAATTAGAGGCATAAATATGGAATAATGGAATTTATTGGAATATGTTGTACAGATATATAGACATACATACAAATGTGCAAAAGGTTCTGTTCAGCAAAAAGATTAGTTGTGGTATGAATAACAATTCTACATTTATTTTAATTATGACTGGTGATAAAGAATCTGACGACAGTGGGAATGAAAGTCCCACAGAATTTCTTATACTGAAAGAGCTTTCGGGCCCCCACAGAAAGCACTTTGTTACCTTATTAAGAAAAGTGCTCTATAAATAGAGTTTATTATTATATTATTTTATTGTATTATAATATGGGATAAGATAATCCTTTAAAAAACTGTGAAAAGAGCTGCCGCACACTGTCCAACTTGCAATCAGTAAGTTAGTATGCTGTGATGTTTGGGTAATAGACCTTCATCAGGCAGACATTTGTGATAATGATAAGCCGTCTTAAATAGGTTAGCCACCCAATCACATTTCCTAGAATATTATTTTGCAAGTTAGAAATTGCAGATAAACTGATGCATTTATGGCAAGTAATCAAATAATCCATTAGCAGTCCCACAAAAGGGAAAGTTGCCATGTTGATAGTACAAACATAAACGTAATGTGGACTGCATATATAAAGATAGAAGAATGAAGCACAACATTAGAGCACAAATACAATATTAAATATGTTTCTATTGACAAATGAGTAAAAAAGGTACATTACAAACAAAACATAACGGAATGATTGAACTAGCTGGTAAACTCAAATATCTTTGAGACACATAGTAAAAGCAGCTTTTTCACATTTGCTCATCTACGATCCAGACTCTTTGTAAACAACCCCTGCGTAGCTCTCTGCGTGTTGCGTCACGTGTGTGGGCGTGGCGCGGGGTCGGGTCTCCTGCTGGCTGGAGGGGCCCTGGAACACGCTCTGTGGGAGGAGCCAGGTGGGCGGGGCCGGCCCGGGCCGTTGAGGGTCTGAGTGACAGCGGCCGCAGTTGAGCACAAGTAAACACAGTGAGGAGAGAGAGAGAGGGAGAGAGACAGCGAGAGAGACAGAGAGAGAGACAGCGAGAGAGAGCGCTGACCAGAGGCTGGCTTGACTTTTCACTGTGACAGCGACACGAGAGACTCCACCGACCATCACCAGCCGCTCGCGCTGTGGTCTGACCGCTGGTGTCCGGTTCCCCCGCAGCACGAAGGAGTGCGATGCCCTCTGACTTCACCTCGCTGCTCTTCAGCGGGGACCTCGAGCTGACTTCTCCCGGAGCCCTCCTCCACCACCGAGGTAACTACCACACCTCTCCCCCCTCTGCTGTCTGTAGAGTGTGCGTGTAACTCGCTGCCTACCTGCCCTGTGTGTGTGTGTGTGTGTGTGTGTGTGTGTGTGTGTGTGTGTGTGTGTGTGTGTGTGNGTGTGTGTGTGTGTGTGTGTGTGTGTGTGTGTGAGTTTTGGAAGCTGAGGACACTTCTCCAAGGGGCTGTTTGACGGTCAACACTCGGTTTAAGGGTTCGGTTCAGGCATTTAGTTTGGACGGTTAGTGTTAGGGGAAGGGGAACGTATTGTGCCAATGAGTGTCCTCACTAAGATAAAGTACAAACATGTGTGTGTGTCAGTCACTATTCAATCTGTTCCCCATGTTCTAAAATGTTGTTTCCTTGAGCAAAGCAAGGTGAAGATTTTTTTCCCTGCACACCGGTTAGACCAGTTTACTTGTCCCCTGCCAGCTAAAAAAACCAAGCAGTGCCGTAAATATTCTGTGGGCTGTTTGTCCACCGGTGCCCCCCCAGCCCCCTCGGAGGCACCACTCTGCTCCTGAGAGTACTACACTCTCTAACACTCACTCTCTCCTGCCATTAACACAAACTACAAAGTGTGCCAGCCTGGGTGTGGGAGCCTCAGGCAACCCTCAGGCAGAGGAGTGACTGGGGCTGCTGTCAGACCTGCTCGGGACTCCAAATGTCCTCAGTATTTTCTCCAGAGGAGGTGCTGTTGTGATCGCAAATGTCAGAGTGAGATGCACTTTCTACGGACTTTATCTGTCTGACCTACCAGTTTAAAGTCCGTAGAAATCCAGGAGAATTCGTTGGGCGAATGCAGCAGGGGATCCCCCGCTGGATTCACTGTGAGCGAGTCTGGTGATGTTTCTAATGCGCGACAGATGCAAAAATGAAAAAGCAATGACACACCGACAAAGATGACGAGAGTTTGAGGCGATAACAGCCGACAACGGTGTCGGGGTGATCTACGCAGCTGAGTTAATACGCCACTTCCTGGCTGTGTCCGCTGCACCTGGCTGCTCCACCTCTCACCTGTATAATTTGGAGGATTTGTTACTGTTGTGAATGTGTCTGTGCAGAAAACCTCCCAATGCGCAGAAATTTCCAGATTTTACCCGCAGGTAATGTCTGAAAACAGCTTGCACAGTCAGGACACCAAAGCTGCCAAATTTCACACACTAATAGATATCAATTCCTCTGTTCTTTTAATCAAGATTTCCAAATTATTCCTTGAAAAATCCACATAAATGTTGAAAACTAATTCCTGGATCTGTCCCCTGATCCAAGTACATACCGAAATGTATCAGTGGCTAACCTTCTCCCGTTCACATCCAATCTATGCAAGTGAAGAGGTGTAAAAAACATTTGCTTCATTGTGGAGTCAACTTATGGTTGTTTCAGAATTATAACCAACCATGCAAGACACATTACAGTGGAAATCATATTTTATACCGTCTCAGGGAAAAGGGGAAGAGAAAAAACTTCTCTCTCTTACCACTAGTTGTATAATGACTCTAAGCATCATTTTATAATTTAATGGGAGTGAATGGATGTTTCACTCAAAGCATTGACATCTTTGAAAAACAGTTGAACATGAAAGTTTACTGTCAGAGGATACCTCCATGATAAGGACAGCCCTGATTATTCTGTAAAAAAAAGTGCAGATAGGAAAAATAAAGAAAATGGCTTGTTGATCAGCCAGAACCCACTGATGTAAAAACATAACAAACTTTTTATAATAATCACATTGGTTAAGATTTTCACGATCACTCATCAAGCAGTGAAACACTATTGAATCCCAGTCGATATAGAGCAAATAGATGAACTGACCAGTCGAGTGCAATAGAACTAATTGGAAATGAAAAAGATTAAAGACTATTCTCTGAGATCAGTTTTGATTTAACTCACGATATTATTTACTGATGTATTCAGATTCTTTTGACTTTTATCCAAAACCTTTAATCATTAATGAGTAAGTCAAAATTCCCTTTTAGATCTGGACCAATGGTAACATGTTCAATAGTCTACTTTGTTTGCTTACTAATCACACTATTGTGTATGTGTGTCAGGATAGTTGACTCGACTCTGTGTGAGAGGTGAACAGAGTTTTGCATCATGCCGACAAGGCCGGTTCCCCCCCTTCCCCACCCCCATCCTATAGTATTGTCCTCGTTGTTGAAGTAGTTCAATTCCTCAGTATTGACAAGTGATAGGACGAGCCTGGATCCGAAGGAGTGATTCTCTCGCATGGACACAACAACAGAGGGTTATGTTGTGCAGCTTTGTTGAATCTCGTTATTTCTGCTTAGACAGATTCTTCTGTCAGTAGCACTGTGTGATTCAAACATTATGAGGAACTCGTATTTGTAATAGTTCAGGGAAAAACACTCAGTAACAATGGCTCTCAGAATAGGAATGCTACCATAAGAACTGGGGGTTTGTGGATGCCATAAAACGTCCCATCAGCTCCACATCAAAGGTGAAGAATGTTATGGCTTTTCCCATAAGTTCCATCAAACCTGGTTAACAATTGTACGAACACGGTTTAAAAAAAAATGTTTTTATTGACACCCGCCAAAGCCTGGTCAATCATTAACCCTCTGGCTGCTCCGTGTGTAAACCTGGGCTTAAATAGCACTGTATTAATATTGACTGCCGTGTTAAGCAAACTCAGCGGCATGTGCTCAAAAATACTTGAGTGCCTTGAAAGCTTGTTCTCGCTCTGATGATGAAAGACAAAATACCGTACAGAGAAAACATCTGATAAAGTTTATTTTTTTCATAAATAGATTTTTTGTGTTGGGTTAGTCTCGTCTATCATAAAGAAATCAGTAGGTGCATGCAAATCAGTATTTTTAACACAAAATAAAGCTTAAACTATATCTGCTATTACTCTTTTTTAAAAATTGATATAACTAAGTCATGATAGAGATAGTATTTTGTCTCCAAATCAGTCCTTACCTTGTCATCATCTGTTAAACATGGACCCAAACCTGTTCTGCATATTTCAGACAAGTTTAATTGACGTGCTTCTGCTCAGTTAGTTTTTTTTCACAAATGATGCAACCGTATAATTGCACTTGACGATATATTGGTCTTTGTTTGTCTCCTTATTTCATCTTTTGACATCATCATGTGAAGAACTACTATTTCCCCCCAGGCTATAATGTGTTAAAACTCCAGTTTTTTGCATGCAGTGGATTAACACACTTGAAATTAAATAATGCATGCCCAGCAGCCAACTCTGGATGCAACAGCAATATGAGCTCAGCCAATAGTACCAAATTGATTAGAGGTTTCTGAAAGGTTCACTAAAGGCCGTCACTTTTTAAGCTGTTTTGCTCCGGTTGGCCGTTCTGTGTTTCACTACAAGATCCTTCTGAGGAACTCAAGAGTTGTACCTGCATTTTGACTGAAGTGGCATTTGTAGTGTCGAATGGCCAGGGAAGTTCTTAAAAGGATATCTCTTTTATTACATTGAATTAATGAATCTACACAAAGCTGGTGGTAGATAAAGATTTCTGGTACTGTATGTTCCCAGTAGAAGTTAACTGTTAACCTTAACTAAACTCATTCAGTGCATCCTATAAAACAAATGATCCAGTGAATGCAGATTACTCACACCCCGGAACATGGTGTGACTTTCTTTGCTTATCATCTTTTGAATCCCTTTAATTAATCATTAATGCAAACCAAACTCCAGTAAAACTCTAATCAGGGTCAGGTCATAATGTCACCTCTCTGGTATTTACTGCACACTTGTGACTTTGTTTTGGCCACAGCAAATCAATGTATGAGTTGTTTAACCTGTTACGGACATACACGCTGTGTGTGCATGGGTGCGTGTGTGTGTTTGATGAAGTCTTGAGCAATTACTTGGATTTTAAAATTGCAATTTGTTCATTCTTTTTTTTCACACGATCCTTAGTAAATATTTCTGCTTTGCACACAACGGCTGTTGTCAGCAATTTTGGGATCAGTGCAAAAACAA